GTGTGTGTGTGTGTGTGTGTGTGTGTGTGTGTGTGTGTGTGAAGGGCCACGAAGCCAAGGTAACATGGAGTCAGTCATTGGACTAGCTCCAGACTCTTTGAAGCTTGCTCTCAGGAGTGTTCGATTTACATTGTTTCACCAGCAGGAAGACTGTTCTGCTAAATTAATGCACAGGAGATGGAGGGAGATGCAGTCCTCCCTGTTGAGAGGCTGCAGGTGGGCCGCCCCTGGTGGCAGATGTTTGAGTACCCCACCCTGCTCCCTGCCTACATGCCCCAGTGGTGTGGACCTGGCCTGGTGCAGGAATCCACCAGGTCAAAGGAGCTCGCATCAAGTGCCTCCACACCTCCCTCTCCTCCCTACATGCTATTTGTTGTTTGTTTCGCTCTCTCTCTCCACTGAAGCATTGACTTCCCAACATGGCAGGCGGAATCATCAGGCCCCTGCGGTGAAAAGGTGAGTTTATCCGCGGGATAATTTCTCCAGGTCTCAAAAAACAAAGAAATAAATCAAAACCTTTGGGACGACAACAGAGAGTGCGTTCATTTCTGATAACGAGCAATTCAAGTTGTTTTATAACTTGAAGGCAAGCCATCCATGAAGCATCAGCTGAAACGCTGGCGAATCGGGACAGCTGGTATTCTTGTTAAGGACTCGTGGTTGTTCTGGGGTAGCTTTTGAAAAAATGGGTCTGCCTTCTTGACTAGATCATGAAGTTAGTGGGTGTGTGTGTGTGTGCAAAATTATAAAATAGAGAGAAATTAGAATATTCTCAATGTGTTTAAATATATTATTTAATAATACACACAATATGTCAAACATACATGTAACTTATGAAACAAAATAAAACAAACACTCATGACCCACCCTCGAACCCAATGCTTAACACTGAAAACCAAACAAACCTCCGAAATCCACTGTTGTTGTGACCCTATAGTTTTTACAGATCCAAACAGTGCCATCGCTCATGTTGGTGCCACCAGTGCAGTAACTCACGGTGTCCCACCTGCCCACGGACCTCTTCCTAATAGTTGTAAATTGTTTAAATGTACTATTTCTTCTATTATATGAACACCACCAACAAACGTGTTTTGCAAAGTCTTTCTTCATTGAATTACTGCTTTCTTAGTTGCATTGTTAGTGACCAGAGGCCTTGAAAATATTTATTGTCTACTTCTTTTCCTTTCATCACGGCTTCATTCTCAAAAAGAGCTATCGATAGTAGGTTCCAAAGCATATTACAATATTGTAACCGAACCACCAGGAAATGTGACAAAATCAGTGACTATAAAAAATGCCAGCAGCACATGCTTGTGCCCTTCACAGGAAACCAGTGATCAAAGCATCATTGCGAGTGGGTGGGGACAGATCTGAGTGGAGCGAATTAGAAAGAAAGTAAACTAGCACAGAACTTTAGCCTAGTCAGTGTGTCGTCAAACTGGACTTCAGAAATGATTTTGTTGTTATGACTAGAGGGGTGTTTTTATTAAAAGTAATGAATCTCTGCTGAAACACTGCACACAAAAATTTTTTGGCTCTTTTTTTTAATGTAGTTTTATTAGGAGCTCATACAACTCTTATCACAATCCATACATACATCAATTGTGTAAAGCACATTTGTACATTCATTGCCCTCATCATTCTCAAAA